ATACAGTGCCATTCACTTCAATGGCCCGCCACACCCCCTCCAGCCCGCCCAAAAAAAAGTGAGCCGGCCGCAATGCGATGCAGTGCGTTCCGGCCAGAATTGGACCAGAATGCACTGCATGTGGTGTGAACTAACCCTAAAAGAGGCCATACACCTTACTACCATTGAACAATTTTTGTCCCGACATCGCACCCTTGTTCAAATAATCCATCATGCACAGACCAATAAAGATTTTGATTATGGTTCCTCAGCAATTCTGACTGGCCGCATTTCGTCGATCAACAGAACAGATGTTCGTTTGCGCATGTGCAATGTTTGGTTCGGAAAAAAAAAATTAGAGCATGCCCGATAGACAAAATTTGGCCAGTTGTACAGTAATTGCGGCTGTGCACTTCCCATCAACTGGCACGGACGAAAACGCATTCGCAGACAAAAATCTACAGATAAGGTAAGGTGTATGGGCACCTTAACAGAGACCAGCTAAAGCCTGATAGTTTCTAAGCCTCGGTCCAAAATCGAACGATAATTGTAGGTGTATGGACACCTTAAGAAAGAAAAAAACAGTTAGGAAACACTGGTGGGAGGAACGGATAGGCATATAGTAGTACCGTTCCCTCTAATTCCTTGATTCTATCTACCAATCGATTCCTAGTGTTGATTTAAACCAAAATTGTAAACCCAGTAGTTGCTATAGTGGGAAAAATGTTTGATACATTTGTCAAATACTCAATCCTATAACCATGCATAGTTCTAATAACATTAATTTAATTAGATTTAATTAATTAAAAAAAACAACATGTAGAAAAAAAGAAAAAAACTCATAAATCACATAAAAATTGCTGCCAAACCTGCGATACGTAAAAACCCTCAAAAGATAAAACACTTGGCCATGCAAGTCCCCCATAAATAGTAATGGGTAAAATGTGCCCCGTCTTTGTATTGAATATGATTTAGAAGTGTGGTAGATGTCATATTGCAGTGATAGATTCATTTTGTAAAAGTGGTAGAGGAGCCTCTTTTGTAATTTAACCAGTCCAAAATTTGTAGGAACATTTAAATCAAAGAAATATAAGGCTCATGGCTGACTTTGTGGTAGACCCATAATGAATGCGGGATAAATAAACATTCATGTGTTGATTGCTACTGTTTCCAAGAAGGTGAGCAATGTGTCTATAAGCCGTACACACCCTGCTACACAGTATTCAAGCAGATGTCATCTAGTATCAAACCGTAGAAAATGGCTATAGAAGTAAAAATCATAGTAGCAAAAAACTTCTGAGATTCAAGTGATTTCACATGGCGTTGGAAGAGTACATCATTCCGATGTGTAATCTCGCTAACGCAGCTACGGCAGCGTTCAAGGTAACAATAAAACAGGTCTCACCCACGTTTGTATTGTTCACCAACGTTTGATATGTAATGGTTAGAGAGATTAACCCCATCAGGTGGTGAAATCTTTTTGATCCAACTGGATACCGATACATGCTGACAGTCTTTGCCACATATGGGGACTCGCAGGCTCCAGATCCCTTGTGCTCAAATGCTAACGTGTTCCATGTAAAATAAAACCGCCTCGGAGCGGGCATGGTAAATGAACCATATATATCATAAGGAGTATATCTACCAAAAGGGGCAGTGACTTCGAGAGGCAGCATGGCGAGAAAATTAGGCGATTCAATCTATTTCCGTTCTGGTAACTTCCTTCAATTGGAACGCATTATTTGCAGAAATATACCCTCGCTATTGGAACCATCCTCCCCCCTAAAATTATTGCTCTCACTCCGAGGTTTGCGGCAATATGTAACATGTGCTGCACAGTCGTCATTTTCGTACTTAGGCGCACCCGACGTATATCTGCATGAGTATGTGGGGGGCGAGGACTTAAAAAATGTTTTCTTTTTAAATTTCTTTTTTATGATTCTTTAATTTTTGTATTAATTTTTTTTTTACACACGACTTTATTGCTATTAAATGGGGGGCTAAGAAGCATGTGATAGCCAGTTTACATGACAGGTCCTCTTTATGGAGACATCAGTGGTCTCCAAGACCCCTAATGTCACCTAGGGACCCCCAAAGCAGCTGATGAAGCAGAGATCGGCTTCATCAGCTTCTGTAGCTGGAGAGTGACACAGAATGCAGGAAGTGATGTAATATACATCACTTCCTGCATTCTGGGACTGGAGAGAAGTTCAAAAGGGAGATCGTATTCCGATTTCCCTTTGATCTCTTGTGACAGAGCCGTGCAACTGCAGTGACAGCTACAAGCGATTGAGACGCCTGATCGCTTGAATGTTAAGCTCCCAGCCGGGAAGCTGCTCATTGGGCTCCACCGTCTCTCTCGTCACAGACGAGCGGATTTTTCAAGGTGTGTGTGTGTGTGTAGGTGTGTGTAGGTGTGTGTGTAGGTGTGTGTGTAGGTGTGTGTGTAGGTGTGTGTGTAGGTGTGTGTGTAGGTGTGTGTGTGTGT